CTCACCGCCCCCGCCGCCCCCTCAAACCTCACCGCCCCCGCCGCCCCTTCACCCCCTCTCCCTGCCCAAACCCCACCATACACTCTGCCCCCCACCCAGTAACAGCTTCCCTCAACTTGCCCCCTCCTTATTCTTCTCATCGTCCCCCACCATTGGGAGAGTGCTGTTTGACGGGATATGTGTACCTCAGGGACGCCGTCCATCTCCAGTTCCCGCTCCCACCGCTACACCACTCTCCGGGGAGTCAGCGTGCCCGTTTCCATCGCCTCCCGCGTCACCGCGTACGGCCTGTCACACCCTCCACGTCACCGCGTACGGCCTGTCACGCCCTATCCGGTCACCGGTCACCGCGTACACACCGCCTTGCCCTTCTACGTCACCGCGTACCCCCCGTCTGCGTCATCACGTAAACCAGCCTTGCCGCCTACAAGGTGCAGGGCTGGATGAACACAGCAGGCCAAGCAGCATCATAGGAGCAGAGAGGCTGACGTTTCGGGCCTAGACCCTTCATCAGAATTCATAACCCCGCCCTTTGACGTCACCATATAACCCTTTTGCCTCACCGTGCACAGCAAGCCCTGCCCCAGACACTGTATGAGTGAATACCACGGGGCGGGGCTGACGGAGCACCACGTGGTCAGGGACGGTGAGTGTCAGAATTAATCTTGTCCAGGAGGCCATTCCGCCCATTGTGCCTGTACTGGCTCGACTACTTGCTGCCAATCTTCTGGCTTTCCCCGTATTCCTGCACGCTGTTACTATCCAAACATTAATCCAATGGCCCAGTTGAACCTGTCTCCATCACGTTTCCAGGCAACTTTTCCAAACCCTAACTACTCATTGGGTGAGAAAGCTTTTTCTCACAACACCCTTGCTCCTTTTGTACATCACCTTAAATCCCCACTTTGTTCTTGTTCCTTTTATGAGCACAGTTGGTTTGCAATGCAGAATCATGAGTTCAATTCCCACACTGGCTGAGGTTGCCACAGAGGTCTCCTTCTCAACATCTCCCCTCACTTAATAGCTGCTGACCCTCAGTTTAAATCTTTACCAGCCATGTCTCTCTTATAAGACATCAGTCCTATGATATGGTAAGGCTATGGCAACTTTACTTGTTTCCATCCTTTACATATGGGAACAGCTTCTTCCTATCTATCCTATCCAACACACTCATGATTTTGAAAACCTCTATTAAATCTTCTCCCACCTTTCATCTCTCTAAGAACACACCAACAGTTTCAGTCTATCATCACAACTGACATTTTTCATTCCTGGAACCATACCTTTTTTTCATTCATGGGTGAGGGTGTCACTGACCAGACAAGCATTTATTGCTCATCTCAAATTGCCCAGAGGGCAGTTAAGAGTCAACCACATTGCTGTGGGTCTGGAGTCACATGTAGGCCAGATCAAGTAAAGACGGCAATTTCCTTTCCTAAAGGACATTAGTGAACTAGATGGGTTTTTCTGACAATTGACAATGGATTCCTGGTCATCATTAGATTCTTAATTCCAGATTTTTTTTATTGAATTCAAATTTCATCATCTGCCCATGGATTTGAACCAGAGTGCCAGAACATTACCTGGGTCTCTGGATTAACAGTCCAGCGATAATACCACTAGGCCATCGCCTCCCCATTAAAATGCTGGGAACTTGCAAGAAAAACCACAGCAGAGTAATGGGAAGCCTTCAAGACAGTATTTGTGAGAGAGCTGGGCCAATATTTTCCCATAAAGTTGAAGGGTGGAACAAAAAAGGTCCGGAGAACCTGGATGTCAAAGGATTAGATAAGGAAAAGATTAGACAGTTATGGCAAACACCGAGGGCTCAAATGAGTAGATGCCTTTGAGGAGTAAACAAAGTGCAGTGGATTGCTCAAAAAAGAAATTCAGAGAGCAAGGAGGGGACATGAGAAAACACTGGTAGGCAATACCAAGGCATTTTATAAGTATATTAAGGGCAAGGTTATAACAAGGGAAAAATTAGGGCCCATTATGAATGAATTGACAATTTGTGTGGAGCCAGATGACATAGCTGAGGTTTTATATTAGAACTTTGCATCTATATTCAATGTAGGGAAGAATGATATAGGTATCGAAATTATGGAGGGGGACTGTGATATACTTGAACAAATTAGCATTGAGATGGGTGGTATTAGTGGTTTAAATCCCTAGTATCTCAGGTTGCTGTGGGAGGCAAGGGAGGAGATTGCAGAGGCTTTGACATGAATTTTCAAACCCTCTCTTGTCACAAGAGGGATGCCAGAGGACTGGAGGACAGCTGATGTGGTACCATTATTCAAGACAAGTGGTAGGGATAAACCAAGAAACTAAAGGCCAGTGAGTATAACATCTGTGGTATGGAAACTATTAGACAAAATTCTGAGGGACAGAATTAATTTCCACTTGGAGAGGCAAGGATTAATCAAGGGTAGTTATGCAAGGTTTAGCAAAGGGGAGATCATATTTAACAAATATGAATTTTTTTGAGGAGATGAACGGGTGTGTAGATGAGGATAGCACAGTTGACATAATCTCCATACAGACTTCTGTAAGGCTTTTGACAAGTTTTCCTATGGGATACTGGTCATAGATAGTGTACTAGTTAAATGGTGACTGACAGTTGACTGTCAAGGTTTATTTAAATTTAAACCATGCAAGTTGCCTCTGGATGGTCAAGACATTGCCTGTGGCAACTGGACAAAAAAGATTGCCGCACTCTCTGTTTCATTCCTCAGGGCAATGTGCCTTTATTGAAAATACAAAATTGATATTGCATTCTCTTCGCAATTTCTTTCAGATGAGACATTAAAACAAGACCCTTTCTGTTTGTCCTCGCAGGAGGGCTGTTATTCACCAGTGTTTACACAAATTGTCTGATCATTTTCACATTGCTCTTTGTAGGACCATGCTGTGCACAATTTGGGCACTGCATTCCCTACTAAAATAGTATCTGCACTTCAGAAAATATTATTATTTATTGGTTTAACGCACTGTGAGCCAGAAAAATGCCTATCACGAAGCACAATTATGAATTCAACATGCACTAAGTGTCATTACCATGTATTTAACACATCAAACAACAGTTGAGGTTATAAGAGATAGGAACAGGGGTAGGCCACTTGATGCTGAGCCTGCTCCACCAGTCAATAGTATATCATGGCTGATCTGACAGTGCTTTAATTTTGCTTTCCTGCCATTTCCCCATAACCCTTGATTCTCCTTCTGATTGAGAATCTATCTCAACCTTAAATATACACAAGGAATCTGCGTACCACCACTCCCCCCAGCCCCCACCCCCCTCAACCAAGCTGTGGCAAGAAGTTTGAGAATCTCAATCCTCTGAGAGAAGAAATTCCTCTTCATCTTAGTCTTAAATTAGTGTCCCTTTATTCTGAGCTGTGACGTCTAGTCCAAGACTGTCGCATGAGGAGGAACATCCTCTCAACATTTACAGTGTCAAGCCCCCTAAGAATCCTGTAAGTTTCCATGCGATCACCTCTCATTCTTCTCAATTCCAGTGAATAGAGTCCCAACCTGTTTAACCTTTGCTCATGTGACAATCACAGGTGGATTCAAAATTTCCTTTGTGGTAGGAAACAGTCAGTGACTAAAAGCCTGTGTTCAGTGGTATGTTATTGGTTTCATTGCTGGGCCCCTTGCTGTTCATAATGCGCAACAATGACCTGGACATGGGTGTAAGGGGTTTGATCGGTACTTTGCAGATTATTGAAATTGTTATTGCGATAAATAGTGAGGATTACAGGACGATATAGACAGGCTGGTCAGGTGGGCTGAACAGTGGCAAATGGAATTTAATCCTGAAAAGTGTGAGGTGATGTGTTTTGGCAGGCCTATCAAGGCAAGGGAGTACATGAAGATAGATAGGACCTTGGGAAGCTCAGAGGATCAGAGGCACCTTGGTGTGCGTTCCAAAGGTCCTTGAAGCAGCTGGAAAGTTCAATAAAATGGTGAAGGTAAACCTGATTAGAGATTATGTGGAGGTGCCAGTGTTGGACTGGGGTGGACAAGGTCAGAAGTCACACGACACCAGGTTATATCCAACAGGTTTATTTGAAAACACAAGCTTCGGAGCCTTAAGGAGTGAGGCTCTGAAGCTTGTGTTTTCAAATAAACCTGTTGGACTATAATCTGGTGTTGTGTGATTTCTGATCAGAGATGTTATCATATACCTCTGGAGCAAGTGGGATTTGAACCCAGGCTTCCTGACTCAGAGGTAGGAACATTATTACTGCACCATACAAGACCCCTAAGATCAATGGGATACTTGTCTTTATTAGTCGACACATTAAATGCAACAGAAAAGAGGTTATGATGGAGCTGTGTAAAATCTTAGTTAGGCCACAGCTGAAGTACATTGTGCAGTTCTGGTCACCACCTTAGAGGAGAGAGTGCAAAGGAAATTCACCAGGATATGGCCTGCGATGGCCAGATTTAGCTCTTAGAATATAGAGAACATAGAACATTACAGCACAGGAACAGGCCCTTTGGCCTACCATATCTCTGCTGACCATGACGCCATTCTAAACTAATCCCATCTGCCTGCACATGGTCTATTTCCTTCTATTCCCTGTCTGTTCCCTGTTCAAATGCCTCTTAAATGTAGCTATCGTATCTGCTTCTACCACCTTCCCTGGCAGCACATTCCAGACACCTACCACCTTCTGCGGAAAAAACTTGCATCGCACATTTTTTTAAACTTTCCCCCTCTCACGCGAAACTTATGTCCCATGGTATTTGACATTTCCACCTGGGGAAAAAACTCTAACTATTCACCTATCCACACCCCTCATAATTCGATATACTTTTATCTCGTCATCCCTCAACCTCCAAAGCTCTAGCTAAAACAATCCAAGATTGTTCAACCTCTCCTTATAGCTAATACACTCCAATCCAGACAGCATGCTGGTAAACTTCTGTTGCACCCTCTCCAAAGCCTCCACATCCATCCTACAGTGTGGTGACCAGAACTGCACACAATACTCCAAATGTGACCTCACTAAAGTCTTATACAGCAGCAACATAACTTGCCAATTTTGATACTCAGTGTCCCATCCGATGAAGGCAAGATGCCATGTCTTCTTTGCCACGTTATCCCAAGATCCCTCTGTATATCAATGCTCTTAAGAACTTTGCCATTTACTGTATACTTTCCTCTTGCATTTGACCTCCCAAAATGCATTATTCTCACATTTGCCAGATTAAACTCCATCTGCCATTTCTCTGCCCAACTTTCCAATTGATCTATATCCTGTTGTAACCTTTGACAACCTTCCCACTATCCACAACTCCACCAATTTTCATGTTAACTGAAAACTTACTAATCAGACCGCCTATATTTTCATCCAAATCATTCATGTATATTACAAACAACAGAGGTCCCAGCACTGATCCTTGTGAAACACTACTGGTCACCGAAATCTAGCCACAAAAATGCCCTTCACAACGGTCTAGGCCCGAAATGTCAGCTTTCCTGGTCCTCTGATGCTGCTTGGCCTGCTGTGTTCATCCAGCTCCACACCTTGTTATCTCCACAACTGCCCTCTGTCTTCTATGGCCAAGCCAGTTTTGTCTATAATTCACTGTGGGATCTGATATGACTTAAACTTCTGGACCAGCCTATCATGAGGGACCTTGTCAAAAACTTTAGTAAAGCCCATGTAGACCACATTCATTGCCTTATCTTCATCAATCATCTTTGTCACTTCAAAAACGTCAAAATTGTGACACAAGTCCTCACCTGTACAAAGCCATGCTGACTGTCCCTAATAAGTTCATTTTTCTCCAAATGTGAGTGAATCCTGTCTGTAAAAATCTTCTCTAATAGTTTCCCAACCACTAATGTGAAGCTCACCAGCCTATAATTTCCTGACTCATCCCAGTTGCCTTTTGTAAATAACGAATCAACATGAACTATCCTCCAGTCTTAAGGAACCTTGCCTGCGGCTAAAGAGAATTCAAAAATCTCTGTCAAGGTCCCAGCAATCACTTCTTTTGCTTCCTTCAGTATCCTGGAATAGATACCATCATGCCCTGGAGACTTATCTACCTTGAAGTTTTTCAAGACACCCAGCACCACCTCCTTCTTGATATCAACATGCCAAAGAATATCAACATACCCCTTCCTAATCTTACCATCATCCATGTCCTTCTCCTTGGTGAAAACTGATGCAAAGTACTCTTTGAGGACCTCATCCACTACCACTGGCACCATGCATTAATTCCCTCCTTTGTCCTTGAGTGGACGTATCCTTTCCCTAGCTACCCTCTTGCTCCTAAAATACATACAAAATGTCTTGGGATTCTCCTTAATCCTTGCCAAGGACACTTCATGGCCCATTTTAGTCCTCCAAATTCTTTGTTTAAGTTCTTTCCTGTTTCTTTTATATCCCTCAAGGGCCATATCTGATTTCAGTTTCCTTAACTTCACATATGCTTCCTTTCTCTTTTTGACTAAACTTCCATATCTCTTGTCATCCAGGGTTCCTGAATCTTGCCATCCTTGTCTTTCATCCTCACAGGAATATGCCAATCCTGAATTCTGATCAACTGGCCTTTAAAACACCCCCACATGAGAGATGTAGATTTACCCTCAAACAGCTGCCCCCAATCTAATTTCTCTAGTTCCTGCTTAATACTTTTATAATTTGCTTTTCCCAATTGAGCACTTTGTCAAAGGTTGCAGTCAGATTTGATCAAGATCTCTGTAATCTTAGAAAACCTTCTTCACTGTCTACTATGCCACCAATTTTGGTGTTGTCCACAAACTTACTAACCATGCTTTCTATATTCTCATCCAAATCATTTATATAAATGACAAACAAAAGAGGGTCCAGAACCGATCCCTGTGGAACACTGCTGATGACAGGCCTTCACCCTCCACCAACACTCTCTGTCTCCTGCCATTAGGTCAATTATATATCCAATTGGCAAGCTCATCCTGAATCCCATGTGACCTAACTTTACTAATTAGTCCACCATGCAGAACCTTATCGAAGGCTTTACTAAAGGCCAAGTAAATAACGTCTACTGCTCTGCCATCATCAATCTTGTTGGTAACTTTCTCAAAAAAATCAATCCAGTTTGTGGGACACGATTTTCCTCACAAAACCATGCTGACTATCCCTAATCAATTTTTGCCTCTCTAAATGTCCTTTCTTTTAAAATCACATCCACCAATTTACCCACAACTGAAGTCAAACTCACAGGTCTATAATTCCCCAGTTTCTCCTTAAAATCTTTCTTAAACAAAGATACAACATTAGCCACCCTCCAGTCATCGGGCACCTCACCCGCAGTTATAAATGATGCAAATATTTCTGCAAGGCGTCTCTTCATTTCCTCCCTTACTTCCCACAATGCTCTGGGATACATTAGATCGGGTCCAGGAGATTTATCCACCTTTAGATTCTCTGAGATCTCCCAAACTTCCTCTTCTGTAATGTGAACTGTTTTTAAAACAACAAAATTTATTTCCCTACATTCTTAAGCCTCATTTCTTTCTCTACATTATGATGCGAAGTATTCATTTAGTATCTCTCCCATATCCAGGGGTTCAGCACAAAGACAACCCCCTTGATCTTTAAGGGGCCCTACCCTCTCTCTAGTTACCCTCTTTCTTTTAATGTATTTGTAGAATCTTTTTGGATTATTCTTAACCTTAACTGCCGATGCTATCTCATATCCCTTCTTTGCCTTCCTGATTTCTCTCTTAAGAATGTCCCTAACTCTTTATATTAATTAAGAGATTCAAGTAAACCAAGTTGTCTATATCTCAAATAAGATTATTTTTTATTCTTGATTAGAACCTCAATATCTTTATTCACCCATTGGTCCTTCATCTTACCAGCCCTACCCTTCACTCTAACAGGAACAAAATGCTTCTGAACTCTTGTCATCGTGCTCTTGAATGCCTTCCACTTGTCAAATGTCCTTTTACCTGAAAACAATCTCTTCCAATCAATTTTTGAAAGTTCTTGTCTCATACCATTAAAATTTGCCTTACTCCAATCAAAAACTTTAACTTATCCTTTAAAGGCTTATCCTTTTCCATAGCTGTTTTGAAACTGGTAGAATTATGATTGCTAAACCCAAAGAGTTGTCTCACTTTTACTTCAGTCACCTGCCCTCCCTTATTGCCCAAAAGAAGGTCCAGTTTTGCTCCTTCTCTAGTAGGAGCGTCCACATATTGATAAACAAAATTTCCTTTAACACATTTGACAAATTCTTCACCATCCAGACCTTTAACACTATGGTAGACCCAGTCAATGTTTGGAAAATCATGATGCTGCCCGGCCTGCTGTGCTCCTCCAGGTCCACACTGTGTTATCTCTGACTCCAGCATCAGCAGTTCTTACTATCTCTGAGTTGGAATATATCGGTGCTTGATGCCCAGCAGGGACATGATGGGCTGAAGGTTCTCTTTCTGTGCTGTTAAAATCTTGCATTTGATTCAATTTGATTTGATTTATTATTGTCCAGTACAGTGAACAGTTTTGTTTTGCATGCAGTATATAGGCAGATCATAACAAAAAGACCATAGGGTGACTGAATAGAGCAAGGAATACAAAATTACAGCTGCAAAGAAAGTGCACAAAAAGCAAGGTTAACATTAGATTTGAAATTTGAGAGGTCCATTCGGAAGTCTAATAACAGCCGGGAAAGAAGCTGTTCTTGAACCTGTTGGTAGGTGTGTTTAATCTATGACTGTTTGGTTGACTCTTGATTTGTCCTGCAAGCCACTCAGGTCAAGGGCAATTTGGCAACAAACGGGGGAAATCAACGTCCACTGATCCCGATTCTAATGTGAACGCACCTCAAAGCACAAAATCAAAAGAAAACGCCGACACGGTGATTATTGAGGAGCAGTTTTGTGTAATCTGAGACAGGGTGTGGTCCCTCCGAACGAGGGGTTAGCAATGGAGAGAGAGGTGGCCCTCCCTCTGTGTCGCTTTTGTAGTGTAGATTGTCGACAGGGTTGTGCTAAATTGGTTGCATAGTCCTGGATTTGGGAGTACGCTGCAGTCCCGCAGCAACTTCAACAGAGACAAACAGGCGCTATATCATTGCAGCTGCGGCGGCTGTTCTCTTGAGGACAGCTGAGAGGGGGCAGCGCGAGGGAGGCGGAGAGAATTTGGAGCGGAGATTTCCGAGTTTGAATAAAAACGGAGAGGAAGGAGCGGTTGGGAGGAAACATCCTCAGAAGGTGAAAAGAGAGACCTGGTGGGTGGGACAGCCCACAGACAGAGAGCCAGCCCTGGCCATCAGCACTGACACCAAAGACTACAACAAGACACCAGGAGAACACAACCAGAGACTACAGCAACACACCAGGAGAACACAACCAGATCCCTGTAAGTGAAAGGGGACATTCTTCAAAAAGTTTAAGGAAAAACACTGGCCGGGGGAGATAAGATTGAGACAGCAATTTCACTCTGGAAATGACACTTCTGTGAGCTTGCCACCCAACTGTGTAGTTTGAATGGATCAGGAATTCTTCAGTGAAATCACAGTCAAAAAGGGATAACATTAGGTTGAGATCAAGATCTTGCTAAGGTCATGTTCCAAGCACTCAATACTGTTGATGCTAAATGGTCGTTAACAGTGAATAAGGACTGAAAAACTTTTTCTCTTTGTTTCCACCAAAAGTTTTCTAGTTTTTAGACAATTCCCTTTTCGCAGGCTTTCCATTTCGTGACTGAGACGGGCTGGAGGCTATGAGCTTCTTCCTACTTGACCCCGTGTCAGTGAAAGGGAGAGTTGTGGTGGGGTGGGGAGATATGAGGCGTTTAAAATCCGGCGTGGCAATTCGCCTACCTTTCTCCCGGTGCACTTTCGCTGCATTTTCCTAAGGTAAAGGAAACTCAGCAGGTCTGGCAGGATTCGTGGAGAGAGAGTCAGAGTTAATGTTTCCAGTCCAGTATAACTTTTTATAATTTGGCTTTGTTTTTTTTTTGGAAATGCAGGGCTCCATCAAGTACTTGTTAATTATCAAGAGATCCGACTAAAACGGAGGGGATCCACCTTAAGTAGAAATAATGAAGTTTTACTTGAAACTCAGATTCAAATCCAGTCTTTAAGCAGTGGACGCTGCTTGATCATCAGTTCCTGTTTGTTCTGAACAAGAAACTGCTCACCTTGTGTACCACACTAATAGATGCTTTTTTTTTCTCTCCCTTCAAAGTTTTGATCTTTCTACGTTGAACTGTTAGTTTAAAACGATGAGTTTGAAAAATAAATTGATGCATGAGGTGCATGCTGATACTCCGATGAAGGCAACATCAAAAGTCTCAATTGTGGGTGCTGGGCAAGTTGGCATGTCGTGTGCTATTTCCATTCTACAGCAGGTAAAGGGTCTGACCTTCATTATCCTGTGCAGCACTCTTCCTCAATAATCACTATACAAGTGTTTTTTTTAATTTTGTGCTTTGAGCTACGCTCACATTGAAACTGGGCTGAGTAGACTTTGATTTCCCCTGTTCTATTTCAGTTGTAAATGCTACGTACGTGCCTTAATTTATTGATTTTATTTTTCCTCTTCAACGTTTCACCGAAATGTGGTATTGTTTTACACACGGTGCTTGTGTTACTAAATTCGTATTCCTGATGATGTACAGATACCAGTTTGTGTTCCATCATAACAACACTGGAATTTTAAAATAAAGTATTAGTAATGGTGACAATGAAACTGCTAGATTTCATAAACACCTATCTAGTTTATTTGTGAGTAAAAACCGAAAGAACTGTGGATGCTATAAATCAGAAACAAAAGTAGAAATTGCTGGAAAAGCCCAGCAGGTCTGGCAGCATGTGTGGAGAGAAATCAGAGTTAGCCGAAATGTTAACTCTGGTTTATTTGTGTCCTTTTAGGGAAGGAAAGCTGCCATCCTTATCTGGTTTGGCTTACATGTGACTCCAGACCCACAGCAATGTGGTGGACACTTAATTGTCCCCAGAAATGGTTTTGGAAGGCACTGACTTCTGTTCAAGACAGATGGTGCCCCTTCACATTTTTTTAATGCTAATTGGGAAATTTTAAAAAATGGACTTGCATTTGTAGAGCACCTTTTGCAGGAATGTGTCAAAGTGCTTCCACCCATTACTGTATGTAATTTAGGAGTGCAGCCGCTGTTGCAAAGTGAGAAAAGGTTGCAGTCAGTTTGTGCACAGTAAGATAACATGCACAGCACTAAGGTGACGAGTGTTTAACTATTGTACATGCATATTCCTTTCACGAAATATGGGTGTAATTGGCAAGACTGGCATATCTAACAACGACAAATCAAAGTACAGAAGGGAGGTAGAGGGCCTGGTGACATGGTGCAATGAGAACAATCTCTCTCTCAATGCTGGCAAAACTAAAGAACTGATCATTGACTTCAGAAAGAAAACAGGAGAACATGCCCCCATCTATTAAAGAAACTGAGGTTGAGAGGGTGAAGAGCATCAAGTTCCTCGGAGTGAATGATAACCGATGACCTGTCCTGGATTTCCCATGTAAATACACCAATCAAGAAGACACAACAACGCCTCTTCTTCCTCAGGCAGCTCAGGAAATTTGGCATGTCCCATAAGGTCCCTCACCAACTTCTACAGATGCACCAGATGCAAACTGTCCGGGTGCATAATGGCCTGGTATGGCAACTGCTCTGCCCAGGACCGTAAGAAACTACAGAAGGTTGTGAGCACAGCCCAGACCATCAGGGAAGCCAACTTTCCATTCATGGACTCCATTTACATGGCTCGCTGCCAGAGAAAGGCGGCCAACATCATCAAAGACCCATTGCATCCTGGTAATGACCTCTTACAACCTCTTCCTTCAGGCAGAGGATACAGAAGTCTGAACACATGCACCAGCAGGTTCAGGAACTGCTTCTTTCCAGCTGTTATCAGACTGATGAATGGACTCTCACCTCAAATATTGTAACCTGCAAATTAACCTGTATGCCTCTAAGTCTTTTTGATCTGTACATCCTTTGCTTGCTGTTATGTGCCTGTACAGCTCATAATCAAAGCTTTTCACTGTATTTCGCTACACGTGACAATAAATTTGATCAATCATTTGTTACTCATCTCTAATTCCCCTTGAACTGAGTTGCTTCCTTAGCCATTTCAGAAGGCAGTTAAAAGTCAATCACATTGTTGTGAGTCTGGACTCGCAGATAGGCCAGACCAGGTAAGAATGGCAGATTTCCTTCCCCAAAGTATATTAGTGAACCAAATGGGTTTTTACGATAATCAATAATAGCTTCATGATCATGAACATTTGAGATTAGCTTCATATTCCATATTTCCAACCACTGCAATGGTTGGATTTGAACCCATGACCCCAGGACATTACCCTGGGCCTCTGGATTACTAGTCTAGTGACGTTTGCACTCCACCACAAACTCCTGGAAGGTCAGCAATTTTTGTCGAATCAGTTAAAAACAGCAAGAACAATCAGCAGGCAAACTTACACACACTTTAAAGAATATAGACATAAGGTCTAAGGGAAGATGTAAATGCATGACAAACGAGAATAGTATCAACAATATGGCATGGACTTGATAGGGTGCATGGCCTCCTGTGTTGTCATGACTACGTTATGTGTTTAATATATTGCAGGAGTGTTGGATGCTGTTCGAACCTGCATTTTCCAAATATGAAGTCTGTTTTTTTTCCTTCCTGTAGCATATTGCTGATGAGCTGGCTCTAGTTGATAGAGTGGCAGATAAACTGAGGGGAGAAGCTCTGGATTTGCTACATGGTAGCCTCTTTCTGAAATCCAAAATTTCAGCAGACACAGGTCAGTGATGGAGCATGGAATTTATTTTGGAAAATATGTTGCATTTGTGTGAAAATATAATTTTACTCTTTTTGTATTTTAATCTCATTTTTGGCTCAGAAATTGCTCATCCAACATCCCTACCAATATAATGTGATACAAATCTTCTACAAATGTGTTTCCTGCCAGCCTGTTGTGACATGTGTTCTTATGCCACATTTGTAATGGAAACTGGAACACAGGAACAGGAGTAGGCCATTCAGCCCCTTGCATCTGTTCCACCATTCAGTCAGTCCATGGTTGATCTGTGGCCTAACTCCATATACCTGCCTTCGGCCTGTTTTTGTTAATGCCTTTCGCTTAATAAAAATCTGTTTATCTCAGATTTAAAATTAACAACTGATTCAGCATCGAGTGCTGTTTTTGGAAGAGAGTTCCAAATCTCTCCCACACTTTGCGTGTAGAAGTGCTTCCTAACATCTCTCCTGAACGGTCTGGTCCTAATTCTCTTATTGAAAGTCCGCTCATAAAAAAACTTGTCATCTTCAGTGAAGTGACTATGGTACACTATTTTCCCCCATTCCTTCGAAACCGCACTGCATTTTCTCGTGCAGTTGGCCACACCATTCTCTTTTAATGCCATTGTTCTGTTCAGCTGACTGAGACTAGCTTCACCTCATCGTGGTCTTGCCCATTGAGTTATAGTTTGAGAAACTCTGACCATGTTCCTGCTTTTTACACCATTATCTCTTTAACCTCAACCACCGTTCCCTTGTGATTTCTCACCTAAAGCTGCTGCCTGAGGAAATCCTACAGGGGTGTGAGATGGGCGCTGGATGAGCTGGTGACTCCCAGCTCTTAAATAAAGGAAAGAACTGTACATGCTGGAGGTCTAAAATAAACAAAAACTGTTGAATTTCTCCAGCAATTTCAGGCCCTCCAGCATCTGCGGACAGAAAAGAGTTAATGTTTCAAGCCCTTAGGGGTCCTTCCCTCTCTCTCCATAGATACAGCCAGACCAGCTGAGTTTCTCTAGTAATTTCTTGTAATTTTTTGATCGTTTCAGACTCACATCTCTTCCTCACTCCTGTTTCCATTGACCTCTCCACTGCCTCTGTGTAGGTAGAGTTCTTGTCTGAAATCCAGTTCCAGAGGAATAAAAATTGGATTTCTATAAATGTTGGGCAGATCATTGTCTTCCACACACACGACAAATTTTGTTGCTGTGCCACTGTCGCCACACACAACCCTTTTCCATGATCACGTTGCTGAGCTGAACCAGCCTGTTGTGAACCTGTGCTGAATATCCAACCCTTCATCTTCCCTATCACACAGAATTCCTACTTCCACCTCCATCAAATTGGCTTGTTCCTACCCTGCGTCAGCCCGCCTGCTTTTGAAACATTCCCTTTTGTTCCCTCAGATTCAAATAAAACCACAGCATCTAAAAATATCACAGATTTCCTGGCCAGCTTCCCATCTTCCACTTTCCATAACATCACACTCATCAAAGTCTCGCGTTGCTGTTGTTATCCTGCTTCCCCCATTCACCCCTGTGCTCACTGACCAGCAGAAGGCTGGGGGTATGGTGATGAACAGTACACTGCTATTTAGTAGGATCCATTTCTTTACTTTTGCTGTTTTGGGATGTATTTCACTTTCTGTTGAGTGGAACAAACTTTCTATTCTATTCCAATTCAGTAAATGTTTTGTTTACCCCATCAGGAAGAATAACATTGCAGCACGCAAAATTCAGTTAAATCGTTTAAATTATGCACACCTAGTTCTTTTTAATATCTGATCCAAGACTAGTTATCAGGAAGTTAATTTGTGTTACCTTCTTAAGGTTAGATAAAAGACTGGGAAGGAAGCTGTGATCTTATCAAATGATAGATAAGGCTGGCAGGGCTGAGTGGCCTACTTCATATGTGCTTTTGTTTCCACTCTATTTATTTATCTGATTTAAAGTAATGTCTTGGTTAACATTTACATTCAACATTTTACATGCCACACAAGGTTCTCCCTGATATTCTTTCTGTGCCAGAGCTGAAGCTTTGGTATCCCATTCCAAACTCAGCATCAATTTTATTGCTCTTGTCTGTGCTGTGGTTTGCTTGTTTTAGTCAAGGCAATTGAGAATTGATGAGCCCTGGATCAACATGTCTTAGCAACGTATTTACTTCTTTCATTGCTTGACGGTGCAGTCGTGAATCAACCATCACTCCCAAGTCCCTGTGCATGTCTACCTCCATCCATACTCAACAGTTGGCATGGTGACAAGTCACCTGGGAGATCCAATGAGTGGAAAAAAGACATCCATCCCATGACCTCAATTGTTGCTAGGCAATTTGTGATATTTTTAGATGCTATGGTTTTATTTTTCCCATAAAGACAATTTTTACAGTTGACTTAATCATACATAATATATCCTTATTTTTCTGTAATAACATTGACTGTTATGGAGTTTCCTGTTACAATGTTTGAATGTTCTGTTATAGATTTTCTCTTGAAGTGACATTCATTGGGATGTTAAAAAGGGAATGGGAATTGGGAAGAGGGATGCAATCCCCTCAGGAAAGGTGTGATAAGACCATGCTTCTAATTCCAAAGCTCCTCAAAGGAACAATTCTAAAAGCAGGAAGAATTATAGAAAGTGTGTTCGTTGTTGGTAACGATGTTTTCTGTGACAGCTTATTCACACAGTAATCAAAGTGTGAAATACAATATTGTAAGCAGCGTTCTGTCCTGTAACTCCAGTCACAGAGTTATACAGCACAAAACCCTCTCGCTCAACTCCTTCATTCTGACCAGACATCCCAATCTGACCCAGTCTCATTTGCTAGCATTTGGCCCATATCCCTCTAAATCCTTCCTATTCATATATCCAACTAGATGCTCTTAAATGTTGTAATTGTACCAGCCTCCACCACTTCCTCTGGCAGCTCATTCCATACACGCACCACCCTCTGCATAAAGTCAGCCCTCAGGTCCTTTTAAATCTTTTCCCCTCTCCCCTTAAACCTATGCCCTCTCGTTTTGGACTCCCCTACCCTGGGAAAAAGACCTTGGATATTCACCTTATCCATGCCCCTCATGATTTTAAAAATCTTTATAAGGTCACCCCTCAGCCTTCGATGGTCCAGGGAAAAAAGGCTCCAGCCTCTTCTTACAACTCAAACACTCCTGCCCCAGCAGCATCCTTGTAAATATTTTCTGCACTCTTTCAAGTTTAACAACATCTTTCCTAGCCCTTTGAACAATATTGAAAGTTGAATTTTGCAAACAAGTTGGTGGGGTGGCAGTTGCAAGGACAAGAAGGCTGTGGATTTGAAGATTGGTGAACGAATACCGTTCAAATTCACACTGTGACGTTCATGTTATTTATCATGGAATATTTGGGTAAAGGAGTCAGTACAGTCCAAGTCTGATTTTTTGTTTTGAAAACAATTCTTTTTAACCTGAATGTCTGTCTCTTACTTTGACCATCCTGCAGACTTTCTGGTTACAGAAGATTCAAAGATATGCATCATCTGTGCTGGTGTGAGACAGACAGTGGGAGAAGTCAAAAGGAGACAGCTGCAGAAAAACATAGCTACCTACAAGGAGATCATCCCTCAGCTGGTCAAGCACAGTCCGAATGCTGTTTTGCTAATTGTTACTAATCCAGGTAAAGTCTTAAATCATTAAACATGTCTTTCGCTGCGCAGATGACAACTTAGAATGTCAACCCACAGGACTGAAGAATAATGTGCAGAGTACAGTGGGTTCTGGAAATCTGGCACTAAAAACAGAAATTGCTGGAGAAATTCAGCAGCTGTGGCTGTGTCTGGAGAGAGAAACAGGAGTTAATGTTTTAAGTCCAATAGTTTGAGATTGGATCTATATATTAGTTTTTTTTTATTAGGAAGGGAACAATGAACATTAAAACCAGTAGATCCTTTTCACATCTCAATGTATCAAAGTGCTTTAAGAAATTGTTTTTGCAACATACTTTGTCATTAACTACCCTCCCACTATGATTCCACTAATAGCAATCATATGCAAGAGCAAAAAAATTAGATCTTGTTGAAGGAAAAGCACTGGCTTAGAAAGGAGATCCTGTGATGCAGTAGGTGGTGCCCCTACTTCTGAATCCAGGTTCGGATCCCACGTCAGGACTTGCTGGTGGTGTCATTATCAGTCTGAATCTCTCTGACACGCCTGTAGCAGGTGGTAAAAGTGAGTGAGTTAACTGGGTGGTTCTGCAGTGGAACAGCCTCCCTGTGATGAGCGGCTCCAGGTACTGATTCTTGCTGTGAGCAAGAGTCCTTCTCGTTCTGAGTGACAACCACCCTGGTCACCTTCAATTGGTGTCATGGGATGTTTGACATGCATGTCAACAGAAATTGGTTTAATGCCTCATCTGTCACAATTGGCCTTTGTTCCTCTGGCTATATACCAGAAGATGATCTTTTTTCTTCGTCCTGTTGTTGCTCACTCCATTGATGGTGGCAATCGCATATCTATCAGGAACTCTGATCTTTCTCCTGACTTGAGTTTAATAATTTCCAGTTCACCCTATGATCTGTATGTCCTTGCTTACAATGATCTGCCTGTGCTGCTCGCAAACAAAACTTTTCACGGTACTGAGGTACACATGGCACTACATCAAATCAACTCGAATCTCAAGGGCCAGCACTTTCAGTTCTTCAGTCTCATTCTTTATTCTGTCCAGGTTCCTTCACTTCTTCAGGCAGCACAAGATGATTGATACACTAACTGCAAAGTCTCTTAGTTACTGGTTAAGAGTAACAGCTTACAGCAACTGCTGGGAGGAAAGATATTTTTACTGCAGAGAGGGAGAGACGTTATCTGACCTCCCAGAACGTCTGAAGGCTTCTCAATCAAGCTGTTGGGGTCCAATCAGACAATTGTTGTCAGGTTAATGATCTTTGGGATGAACAACTGGTCACAATCACTTAAACCAATCTTGTTGATATCCACTTCCCACTCTGCATATACCCCCTAGCGCTGGGACCTCTGCAGCCAGCTTTTTCTAGAGCTTAAACAAAGCAGCAGTGTAAACACCACACACATTGAGCTTAAGTAATTTGTTTATAAAAAGTCAGCAATTTCTTCCACAATCCTTGGTCTTACAACAGTCATTTTTTTTTACCATTTTAGTCCAAAACCAAATCTACAGAAAATGAACTGATAGTCTTTTATAAACATTGCAATGTTTATAATGGGTTCTCTGCAGACCACGATCAATCTGTCTCTGTTCAGTCATCATTATCATGTTCCAGTCGTATTTGAATGTTTTTGCTTAGACAGTAAGAACATAGAATTTTCACCCAGAAAATTCAATTTTTCCTGTATGCGAATTTTTCGGTTTTAATTGGTTTACAATTACAGGAGAAATTGAACAGTGTGGAGCTGGAGGAACACAGCAGGCCAAGCAGCATCAGAGAAGCAGGAGAGTTGAAATTTTGGGTTGGGATCCTTCTTCAGAAATGGGGAGGGGGAAGGGAGCTCTGAAATAAATAGAGAGGAGGAATGGGGCTGGGAAAGGTAGGTGGAATGGTGATAGGTGAGTGCAGGTAGGGAGTGGTGGGGATTGGTCAGTGGGATGGATGGGGCGGATAGGTGGGAGAGAAGATGGACAGGGTTGTATCAGGCCAAGGAGGCAGGGATGAGAGGGAGGGTTGGACATGGTATGAGGCTGGGGGTGGGGAGATTTTAAAACTGGTGAATTCTATATTTAGTCCATCTGGCTGTAGGCTCCCGAGGTGAAATATGAGGTGCTGTTCCTCCAGCTTGTGTGTAGTGTCATTGTGCACTGGAGGAGGCCCAGGATGGACATGTCACCCAGGGAGTGGGAGGGGGAGTTAAAATCGTTGGCGACTGGAAGGTGCTATTGATTACAGCGTACAGAGCGCAGATGTTCTACAAAACAGTCTCCGAGCCTCCGCTTGGTCTCACTGATGTAGAGGAGGCCACATTGGGAGCAGCGGATGCAGTAGACCAAGTTGACGGATGCATAGGTGAACTCCTGTCTGATATGGAAGGTTTGTTTTTTGCCTTGAATGGAGGTGACGGGGGAGATGTAGGGTCAGTGTAGCACTTCTTGTGGTTGCAGGGAAAGGTGCGGGGCGTGGTGGGGTTAGTGGGGAGTGTGGAGCGGATGAGGGAGTCACGAAATGAGCAGTCCCTATGGAAGGCAGATAGGGGTGGGAAGGGAAATATCTCTTTGGTTGTGGGGTTGGATTGTAGGTGGCGTAAGTGGCGGAGAATGATACGTTGGATATGAAGGTTGGTGGGTTGATATGTGAGGACAAGGGGGATTCTGTCTTTTAATTTTGTTGTGGGGAGGGGATGTGAGGGCAGAAGTGCGGGAAATGTAAGAGATGCAGTTGAAGCCATTTTTGATCACCGGCCTGCCAGGCCTGCTGTGTTCCTTCAGTTCTACAGTGTATTGTCTCTGACTCCAGCATCTGCAATTCTTGCTATCTCAGGAGAAATTTGTGTTTTCTTTTTCTGGACTGTTTTTTTTTTTGCTTTCCAGTGGATATCATGACCTATGTGGCCTGGAAACTGAGTGGTTTCCCAAAGCATCGTGTGATTGGCACAGGCACGGACTTGGACACCGCCAGGTTTCGTTTCTTATTGGGCGCAAAGTTGAGAATTAATCCAATCAGTGTCCACGCTTACATCATCGGTGAACAGGGAGATGAAAGTGGTATGTAGTCTCTAGCTGTCGGTTTAGTGAAATACTCATAAAGTACGTGTGCCTGCAGAATCCCCACGCTTTGTAGCTTTGTTCTAAATTATGAACGTAAGGTGCATTTGACTTGCATTTTAGTTTGCTTGCATTGTTTTCCTACAAAAGCGTTCTGAAATATACAACTGAATATACTGCATAAGCATCATTAAGAGTTATATTTTATTGTTAATGTGTACTCAACTTTAGGAATACTGGGGTAAGGTGAAAAGTGTGCAAAGTCGTCATTCTTCATCGCCATCTTAGTTACAAAAACTGGAATTAAAAAAAACAAAAGCAGAAATAAAAGAAACCAAGCCAAGGGGAAAGGAAAATGTCCAGATCATAAAGTCTTATGTCCATAAAGGTAAGTGGGTCCTCCCAAAGCCTGCAGTCTCTGCCAGTTGCTAATGATGTAGGCACCTGGGCCTAGCCATGGCCTGGAGCCTCAGCCAGCCTGTGACCCGCTCCTCTGTCGATAGGAGTAGCCGCGCATGCACGCCTCATCCTGGTGTCACTGGTGCTTCCATTGGTGGCCCCCGGAACACGCTCCTCGATCGCAGGAGCCATGTCCGTTGCTGCCGCCTCCCGGAACATCATTTGGACGGTTGTCACTTTTTAATCCCAGGGCTATCATAGAATCCCTACAGTGCAGATAAAGGCCATTCAGCCCACTGAGTCTGTTCTCACCATCTGAACAGCATCCCTGTAACTCCATATTTACCATGCCTAAAACCCCTAATCTGCACATCCCTGACACTATGGGACAATTTCCCATGGCCAGTCCACGGAACCTGCACATCTTTGGACTGTGGGAGGAAACCCATACAGACACAGGGTGAATGTCCGTGTGGAGTTTGCACAGTCACCCAAAGCTGGAATCGAACTCATTTCCCTGGCGCTGTGAGGCAGCTGTGCATTCACTCCAAAGGTCGACTTTTGACCAGTGATCTCTATCAATTTCAGTCGGATGGACATAAGACCATGAGAAATAGGAACAGGGGTAGACTATTCGGCCCCTTGAGCCTGCTCCTCCACTTTTGATCCGACATCCTTCATGTCCAATTTCCTGACCTTTCCCCATAACCCTTGATTCCCCGACTGATAAAGAATCTATCTCTCTCAGCCTCATATATACAAAGGACTCTGCCGCATTAGCTCTCTGTGGCAAGGAGTTCCAAAGACTCTCAACCCTCCAAGAGAAGGAATTCCTCCTTATCTCAGTCTTAAATTGTACCCCTTCTCTAAATGGTCATTGGATAAACATATGGATGATAATGGAATAGTGTAGGTTAGATAGGCTTCAGATTGGTTTCACAGGTCGGCGCAACATCGAGGGCCGAAGGGCCTGTATTGCGCTGTAATGTTCTATGTTCTATGTTCTATGTTCTAACCCCATCAAGTATAGACCCAGAGTCCTCAAATGTTCCTCATACGTTAAGCTTTTCATTCCAGGGACCATTCTTGTGAACCTCCTCTGAACCTGTTCCAGGGCCAATACATCCTTCCTGAGATATGGGGCCCAAAATTGCACACAAAACTCCAAATGTGGCCTGACCAGAGCCTTATAAAGCCTCAGTAGTACATCCCTGCTTTTATATTCAAGTCCTCTCAAAAATAAATGCCAACATTGCATTTGCCTTCCTAAATACTGAATCAACCTGCAAATTTACCTTGAGAGAATTCTGGACTAGAACTCCCAAGTCTCTTTGCACTTCAGACTTCTGAATTTTCTCCCCATTTAGAAAATAGTCCATGCTTTTATTCTTCTTACCAAAGTGCATGACCTCACACTTTCCTACGTTGTACTCCATCTGCCACTTCTTTGCCCGCTCTCCTAACCTGTCCAAATCCTTCTGCAGCCTCCCTGCCTCCTCAATATTACCTGTGCCTCCACCTATCTTTATATTGTCAGCAAACTTAGCCAGAATGCCCTTAGTTCCTTCATCTAGATCATTACCGTATAAAGTGAAAAGTTGTGGTCCCAACACTGACCCTTGCGGAACACCACTAGTTACCAGCTGCCATCCTGAGAAAGACCCTTTTATCCCCTCTCTCTGCTTTCTGCCAGACAGCCAATCTTCTATCCATGCTAGCACCTTGCCTCTAACTCCATGGGCTCTTATCTTACTCAGCAGCCTCCTGTGCGGCATCTTGTCAAAAGCCTTCTGGAAATCCAGGTAGATAACATCCATTGGCTCTCCCTGGTCTAACCTGCTTGTTACCTCCTCAAAGAATTCTAACAGATTTGTCGGGCATGACCTCCCCTTAATGAAGCCATGCTGAGTTTGCCCTATTTTCCCATGTACTTCCAAGTATTTAGAAATCTCATCCTTCACAATGGACCCAAAATCTTACCCACAACCGAGGTTAAGCTACAGGTTAAGCCTGTAATTTTCAGTCTTTTGCCCTACTCCTTTTTAAACAGGGGTGTCACATTAGCCATTTTCCAGTCCTCTGGGACCCTCCATGACTCTAGCAATTCCTGAAAGATCACACAAACGCCTCCACTATCTCTTCAGCTATCTCCTTAAGAACTCTGGTCCTGGTGGTTTATCCATCTTCAGCCCATTCAGTTTTCCTAGTACCTTGCCAATTGCTTCATAAAATGAACAGCCAAATTCTAAAAGACGTAACATTCTTCCAAATTAATGTAACCATTTTCAGTCGCTTAATCAATTACCTTCCCTTCATCATAAGGTAGGAAGTGGGGATGTTCACCAATGATTGCATTTTGTTCAGCACCATTCACAACACCTTAGATACTGAAGCAGTCCATGTTCAAATGCAACAAGACCTGGACTGTATACAGGCTTGGGCTGACAAGTGGCAATTAAGATTAGACCACACAAGTGTCAGGCAATGATCATCTCCAACAAGAAATAATGTTAGCATCATCCCTAAATATTCAAAGACATTATCATTGCTGATCCCTTTGCTGTTTTCAACCACAGGGTTATGATTGACTATAAACTGATAAGCTATATAAATACTGTGCAAAAACAGAAGTTGCTAGAAAAGCTCAGCTTCACAGATGCTGCCAGTCCCGCTGAGCTTTTCCAGCAACTTCAGTTTTTGTTCCTGATTTACAGTGTCCGTAGTTCCTTCTGTTTTTATATAAATACTGTGGCTTGGGTGGGGGGAGTTCTGCAGAGAGTAGTTCTCCTTTTGTCTCCCCAGTGTCTCTCCACCAAGCCACAGTACAGGTCAAGAGTATAATGGAATACTCTTCATCTGTGTGGGTTAGTGTAGTTCCAACAACACTCCGGCTTGCTACCATTCAGAACTAAACAGTCCATGTAATTGGGATCCCATCTACTACCTTCAACACTCATCCCATTCACCCCCACCACACTGTGTGTACCATCTAAAGACAGACTGCAATAACTCAATAACGCTCCTTTAACAACACTTTCCAAACTTGCAACGTCTGCTGTCTAGAATGATAAGGGCAGCAGAATCATGGGAACACGCCACCTGCAATTTCCCCTCCATACCACTCAGCAACCTGACTTGGAAATATAGCAGCTTTCCTTCAGTGATACTGATCTCTGTCTCTAACAGCATGTTGGGTGCTGACACCACACACACTACAGCAGTTCAAGGTGTTGGTTCACCACTAACCAGAGATGGGTCTCACTAGCTGGGCTAGCATTTATTGCCCACATCCTGTGAATGAATTAAAACAAAACTGCCAAAAGTAAAATAGCCCGAGAAATCATAAAGAGAAAACTTCATTTAACTTATTTTTAAAAGTGGATGTCAGCACTGATATTTATGGGATAAATATCAGCTTTGAGTAGAAAGGATTATCTTCACATGAGAGTGAATTATTCTGTAAAGGTGAGAATGATCTTCTACTTAAAGCTACTTTGGTCATAAGAAGAAACTCTTCCGGATTGTTCTATGATCTGGTTTGTATTTAATTGCCATTAACTTGAAGTCAGACTCCAGAACCTCAAGGAAATAGAGAATCTTTTAAACTTCCCCATTTGAGGCCATTGTAACAGATGAAAAGGTCATGATTGTATTCTTATGCTCTTTGACTCCTGTTGTGGCAAGAAGATGACAGCCTTCTCCTGGACTGGGGGGCCCAGGTTCAAATCCCACCTCCTCCAGAGGTGTATAATAACCTCTCTAAACAGGTTGATTAGAAAAATAATTTAAATAAAAAAAAGTTAAAAGGATATTCTCAGTGGCCCTCCTGTGGAACAATGGTAATGTCCCTACCCCTGAACTAGGAGGCCCAGGATCAAGTCCCACCTGCAAATGAAAAACAGGTGGCAGCACTAAAAGTTTATGTCTTTTGGGTAATTAACAAACCTAATCTGTCTCTTTATTGACTTTTTGGTGAAAAAAGGAGGGTTCTCATTTCAGACCCTTATTACCATCTTCCTTATTATCAGAGCCTACTGGTTAATATCTGAATACCAACTCGATGTTATTGCAGTGAGGAGTCGTGCCCAATTTACTTTTCTTAAATTCACCCTATTCGGTCAAGTGAATACTCAGTTTCTAAACCACTAGTTTGCTATTGGTCCAGAATATTGTGTACAGTTCTGGACCCCACATTTCGAGTAGGATGTAAAAGCCTTTGAAGGGTGCAGAGGAGGTTTATCAGTGTCTGTCCAAGGATGAGGAATTTTGACTATGAGAAAAAGCTGGAAAAGTTAGGATTATTCTCCTTGGACCAGAGAAGGTTAAGAGATGATTTAATACAGATCTTGAAGAATGACTAGAACTTTTGACGGAGTTCATTGCATAGTTGCTGTGCAGAATAAGACCATTTGGCCCATCATGCTTTCAAATGAGGATTGTTACCTCACCCAAACTCTCTTGACTTTTCCCCCCATCACCTCGTGCAGTATTTCTAGCCAAATAATCATTTGAAGTACTCTTGAATGTCTCATTGGAAAAAAGAAACTTTTGCCTGATGGAAATTACCAGAAATTTCAAATAATTAGCAAAGTATCTCGTTGTGAGCTGAGGAGAATTCATTGGCACCCACAGCGTTGTCAGGATCTGAACTGTTCCAGCTGAAACAATGGTGGAGGAAAGGAGTTGGCTCATGTTTGAGGTTGATCATGTTTGACAGTGCTCTCATTAACTGGCCAGGATGCAAAGTGCTTTCCCCAAAGTGCTGACAGTTTGTTATTTTCAATTAACTTTGTAAGAACACCAGAGCAACAAACTCTACAGCATTTAGTCTTTCAGGCTATTACTCCCAGGACTGTGGGAGGATCTGTGACAGGAATATGTTTAAATGGAGGATAGCCTTTCTTCAATGTTTATTTCTTGCTAAAAAGTGATGACCAAACATTTTCTTGATTGTACATGATGCCATCTGGTCCTATATAATTAAGAAGGCCAGCACGTTATTTAATCTCCTAGGTTTTGTGCTTTGTGAAGCATGAAATGAGTTACTACAACTAACACTTTTCTCTTTAACCTTTTTAATGCAGTTGCTATTTGGAGCAGTGCAAATGTGGCTGGTGTCAACCTGGAGTCATTAGATGAAAAGCTAGCAAATGAACAGGGAGATCAAATTCATAAAAAGGTTATAGAAAGGTAAATGTTAATGGCTTCTTGTGAACAAAAACACCTCGAATGTTGACACAGAAGGTTATACGTTGATATTGCACAAAACATCTGCTTGGGGATCACTGACAAAAATGTTTGAAGGTGACACGGAAAGCTGATAACGCAGTTCAAAAGAAACACTTGGGATCCCATCGGAGGTAGAGATAATAGCACTCCAAAGCAAAAAAGGTTACACTAAATATTTATATATTAATGGTCAGGTCTCAACTGATATCATTGTGTTCAGTTCCGGACACTGCCCTTTAGGAAGAAGTTAAGGGGGAGAAGGCAATTAACTAGAATGATAATGAGGATGGAGGAATTCACTGATATGGAGAGGCTATAGATAACATGGCTAATTCTGCTTGAGAGCAGAAAGGAATGCAGGCTGATTCAACAACCATTTGAAATTATGAGGCATTTTTATGTAATAAAAAGGAAGAAACTGTTACCATCGACAGTTAACCAGAGGATAGATTTAAAAATATAAAGGAACCAATGTGGGTGTAGAGATCATGGAATCCTACAGTGTGGAAGCAGGCCATTTGGCCCGTCAAGTTTACACTGACTCTCCAAAGAGCATCCTACACAGGGCCACTCCCCTACCCTAGCCCTTTAATCCTGCATTTCCCGTGGCCAATCCACCTAGCCTGCAGATCTCTACACACTATTGGCAATTTAGCATGGCCAGTCCACCTAATCTGCACATCTTTGGACTATGGGAGGAAACCGGAGCACCCGGAGGAAACCCATGCAGACATGGGGAGAATGTGCAAACTTCACACAGACTGTCATCCAAAAGTGGAATTGAACCCCAGTTCCTGGTACTATGAGGCAGCAGTACTAACCACTGAGCAACAGTGCCACCCATGAAATTTTCTTTTATGCAAGTGTTTTGCCTGAATGGGCAGAGGAAGAAAATAGCAATTGCCAGCCTGAAAAGAAAAACAAATACAAGGTTACAGAGAAAGAGCAGGACAAGGGTATGAATTGAATAGCTCCTTCAAAGAGCTGGTGCAGGGATGATGGGCCAAATAGCCACCTGTTGTTGCTGTATGGTTTTTCTGGCGCTCATTAAAATGCTGCATCCCTTTTCTATGCCCACCTGCACCCCTGGTGAGATTCCAATGGGGTCATGAGTTCCCACACTTGGAAACCAATTCACCACCATTGACTTATGGAAAAGAAATCCCCTTTAGGTACTGCGCTGTATTTAGCCAATCAATACGTTATGGGATTGGACACTCCTTGACCAGCCTGGGGACTGTTCAAAAGGCCAATCAGCCCACCCCTGTTACTAGTCCTTAAGTTTTTATGTTCTAAGAGCTTTGTTTATGAGCTAGACCTGGAGTTAGACTCTCAGGAAATCACTGAATATTTATTTAGTAGGATTTATATTCTTGTATTGTGGTTTGTAGACATTTCACCTTTTACGTAAAACACACAAAATGCCCTGAAGCAAATGATTCTTTAACCAAAGTATAATAGTGTGATGTGGGGCCTCAGGATACTTTAGTGGACAGTGGAATTTCGGTTAAAATTTAGTCTTTTTTCTTCCCATCACAGTACCCATGATGTCATAAGGCTGAAAGGATACACTTCCTGGGCCATTGGTTTAAGTGTGGCCAGTATCGTGAATGCAATTTTGAAAAATATCCGATCCATCCACCTGGTGTCCATCAATGCAAAAGTAGGTTTTGATCAGCTGCTGTTCCATGAAACGCTGGTACAAATTTCATGTGGCATGTGGTATTGGGTCAGCATTTTCTCCACGTGGGATACATGTATGTACCAGATGTTCTATGATTATGTGCTGATGAATATTGCATTAGTGTCTTATTCACAGCAAAACATGGAATATAGTGTCTAAACACGTTGGCACAAAATTATAATTGGGCTTTGATGCTTGTTATGATCTGCCAAATTTATGCTCTAGCCACAATAGGGATCAGTAAGAAAGAAATAGACAACATGTCATGAGGGCAGATTTTTTTTACACAGGGTGGTTTGTGTGTGGAATGAACTTCCTGAGGAAGTGGTGGATGTGGATACAACTGTAATGTTTAAAAGACATTTGGTTAAGTACATGAATAGGAAAGGTTTGGAGGGATAAGGGCCAGGAGCAGGCAGGTGGGACTAGTTTAGTTTGGGATTATGTTTGGCATGGACTGTTTGGACCGAAGGGTCTGTTTCCGTGCTGTACAATTCTGAGATCCCATGTCTGATTGATATCCGCACTCTTTGTGATCTTTCATTTTCTCCCAATCCTATTCCAAATGTGCCTCATTTCATCCTTTGAGTGACATCTTTGGCTTCCTCACTCAGGACTTTGATTTTGGTTTCCCATGCGATTCATAAACCACATCCTTCCAATATTCTTGGGATTTTGAACAATCTTTTGAGAACTGCCTGGACTCCTGCAGGTCTATCCTGTGTCTCCGCCATGGTAGGCACTTCCGATTTGGTGTCAACTGCTATTGACCCTTTAAGGTCACTTTGTGGTCTCAGTCGTTTTTAATGAAAGACTACATCTTCCAGTGGAAAGCAGTATCTTTTACAGTCAGAGATTCATCTCCCTGCTTCTAAGTACCTGACTGATTAGCACCTTGAAGGTAGTAAATTACTCCTCTGACTGGCTCTGTCCAACTGAATAAAACTGACTGCTCAATAACATTTCAACCTTTTGCAAACTTTGCAACAAGGTCCACCTTTGTTCCTCAGGTGGATTGAATTTAGCAACCCAACAATCAAAATATTGCAACCCTTTGGAACTGTTTCTTATCTGAGTGTTAGAATTCACAGATTGATGGATTAAGATCAATAATGCAAATGAAATAGATTCCTAGAGGCTAAAGGTGTCAAGGGGTGGGGAGTTGGTGAGGTGAGTGGGAATATGGTGTTGACATGGAGCATTCGGTTTTCGATATCCCCCTTCAGGAAGAATATATATAGTCTTGATTCACAAAACCAACTTAAACCACAAGTCAAATTGTGTAACCTGGTGTGTGGAGAATTTGAGAGAGGATTCCGTTGAAATGTTTGTAATGTGAACAGGATTACACAGGGTAGGAATGGAGAAACTACTTCCTCCGATGTGGGTGAGGAATTCAGAATGGTGGGATTTGATTTTAAAATTAGAGTGAGGTCATTCAGGAAAGAGATTCATGTAAATTATGATGATGTAACAGATGCTGACATTAGTAAGAGACAAGACCCCAGTCCAGAACGATCATGTGCAGAGAAGCTGTATGTGATAATCTACAATGTGCAGATGCAAATAACAGAGTTTTACAGTTCATAAGGAATTAAAGAGCCTTCCTTTAGAGATAAGGAGCAAGTAACCTCGAGGATGGTATATATACAGATACCCACATCTTGAGATACCCCAGACTGGTGCCTCAATGTGCAGTTTTGGATTAGAGCTCAAGGTCAACCAGAAATCAGGAAGCATTTTATCAAAGGGGAATAGAAACCTGCAATCCTCTCCATCAAACCACGATAGATGCTGTGAGACCAATAAATTTCTTTTGTTTTTGCATATTGAACCAAGGTAGGAGTTGAGCTACAGATCACCTATGGTCTAAGGGAATGATAAAATAGGCAGGAGAGGCTGAATAGCCTACCCTGTTCCTATGTCCTGCAGGATCAGCGAAGTAGTTAGGTTTTTTTTTACTCTTGTTATCTGTTACAGCAATAGATTATCGTTCTTTTGTAGGATCTTAAGCTATTAGCTTCATTTGTCTCCAAATGCACCTTTTCTATCACCTCACCATTATTTATCTTCCTCTCTCCAACCCTTTCTTCCCATAGCAAATCTCTTTGGTACCTTGACCACTTGGTACATGTGGGCCAAATACTGGACTGTGGAAGGCACTGACTGCTCATTTTAACTTCCCTCTGATACTTAACTGCATTCTACCAGTAACTGCTGGACAGCTGGCTTTGGATTGCAGTACGAAGCTGAAACTTTCTGGGCTGGGAACAGCTGCCCCACCCTTGCCGCTGAGTAGGGCTCAGTTCTGCTCGAGGGATTGAGTATAGAAAGCAAGGCCAGCTGCACTCCCAGCATGGTCTGAGGGAGTGCTGCACTGTCAGTGATGCCATCCTTCAGCAGAGATTTTCAATTGAAGATTGATCTGAGGAGAGCGAGGGAGTTATTCTGTGGCCTAATCAACATCACAAGAAGAGATTGTGGTCATGATCATATTGCTGTTTGTGGAGACCATTCTGTGCAAATAGGGTGTGACTGCAGTGACTTCAAAATTGGCTCAAGGCCATTTTGAACTCTCCTGTGATCTTGAAAAGTGCCATATGGGTCTTTATCTTTTATCTCTTAGGTTGCTTAGACAAGAGTATAGTACACTTACCTGTTAACTTGTAGTGGAGATCACACACACAATCTCCTCTGTTCGGTGATCTCCTGCATGACTAGGCTCAGAACTCAATTTGAAGATTATAGCCTGTCTAAGGAGAACACTGGTTCTCTCTTGTGGTCATAATGTGCAGAGCAATTGATTATTTCTGGAGTCCATCCAAGAGTTCATCAGCAATTGCTGAAGTTATACAGTGTGGGGTCTATTTAATTAAGTAACACAATTTAGATAAACTATCAAAATTGCATTTCCAGGAATTTCTAAGTTTAAGGGTTAATTTAAGTGAGGTGTTAAAGGAATACAAAAGTAAGGAGGTTATGTTCCAGCTATATATGGCACTGGGGAGACTAGATTTGAGAGTATGGTATATAGTGTACGAGTGGGTTATATTATGAAGAAAGGTGGATAGGCTAGGCTTATATCTGCTGGAGTTTACTGATTGAAGCAAATAAGATCCTGAGGGGGATCCTGACAGGTAGAAGTGAAGAGGATGTTTTTCTCTTAGGAGAGAATTTAGAACTGTTTTAAAATAAGGGGATGGCCATTTAACCCAGAGAAGAATTGTTTTCTCACTGAAGGTTAGATGTCTTTGGAACTCTGATTCCACATCTTTGAAGACAGTTGAACATAGCTCCTCTCACCCACCCTCCTGCAAAAATGCTTTCTCATACTGTCAATTCCTCCACCTCCACATCTGCTCCCAGGATGAGCCATTTTACTCCAGAACATCCCAGATATCCTCCTCCTTGAGCAAATGGAATTGTCTCTCCTCTGTAATTAAGGATGCCCTCAGCCACATCTCCTCCAGTTCCCACACTTCTGCCCTCAAACCTCCTCTTCCCAACAACAATCAGGATAGAGTCCCCTCAGTCCTCATATACCACCCCACCAACCTCCGAATCCAACGCATCAGCCTCCGACATTTCCACCACCTACAATCAGACCCCACCACCAAAAAGATATTTCCTTCCCCACCCCTGTCCGTGTTCAGCAGGGACCGTTCATTCTGCAACTCCCTCGTCAGCTCTACACTCCCCACCAACTTCTCCACCACACCCAGTACCTTTCCTCGAAACCACAAGAGGTGCAACATCTGCCCCTACACCTCCCCTCTCACCTCTGTCCAAGGCCCCAAACAATCCTTCCAGATCTGGCAGAGATTCACCTGCACTTCATCCAATCTGATCTACTGTATCCGTTGCTTTCGATGTGGTCTCCTCTATATCGGGGAGACCAAACGCAGACTCGGGGACCGGTTTGCAGAGCATCTGCGCTCTGCACGCACCGACCAACCCAACCTTCCAGTTGCCATCCACTTTAATTCCCCCTCCCACTCCCCTGGCCCATCCTTGGCCTCCCCCACTGTCAGAGTGAGGCCAAACATAAACTGGAGGAACAACACCTGATATTTCGCCTTGGGAGTTTACAGCCCAATGGCCTCAATTATAGACTTCACCAACTTCAAAATTCCTGCACCCCCAGCCTCATGTCCAGTCCTCCCAGTCCTCCTTACCTGATCTATCCACTCCATCCTTCCCACTGATCAATCACAATGACCCACTACCTGCATCTACCTATCACCAACTCACTGACCCTACCCCCAGTCCCACCGCCTCCCCATTTACTTGTGGGCACCCCACCCCTCCCCAGTCCTGACGAAGGGTTTCAGCCTAAAACTTTGACTTGCTTCTCTGATGTTATCTGACCTGCTATGCTTTTCCAGCTTCACATCTATTTACTTTGAGACATTTGATGGTTGTGAAGTGTACTATATAAATGCAAGTCTTTCTTTTTTTAATCCTCCTGTACATGATGTTTCAAGCAAGCCCAACCCTTGGGTTTTGTAGGACCATATTCAGTACTTTTCCACTGGCGTGTAAGTATGCTGTAACATTGCACAATTACTGACCTCTACAAAGTTGGTGACATACAGATAGATGCCTTGATACCTGAAACATCACTGTGTTGGCCAGCAGGTAGTTTATTCAACTCTCGAGAGTGGGAGAGGAATATTTCCTATTGGAATGATCATATATCTGAATGTTTTTCTGTTTTTTCTCATTTTACAAATTTATTTAACTAGTAATCATTTGAATTAGTTCTAACATCAAATAAAATGCAACATTTAGTGTGTATGTATATATTTAAGAAAAATAGATACCTGAACAGTAACAGAGGTAACATTTGTTCTAATACATCAGGATGAGCACAATATCACAAACGATGTCTTTCTCAGTCTCCCCTGCGTCCTGGGAATAACAGGAGTATGTGGAATCTTGAGACAACAACTCAAGGAGAAAGAAGAAGTAAAACTGAAAAACAGTGTGGAAAATCTTTTGAAGATCCAGCGGGAAATCATATTGTGAACAAAATGCTAAGTACGAGGCCCCACTAAATGACGGAAAATCAGCACACCATCACTTATAGGTGTCACATTATGTAAAGTGTATATTCATTGTGAATGTTAGTCAAGTTGTTTGTGGAAGTTGCACAGAAGTTAGGTGGGAAAATATTTTAGATATTGCTACTAGCGTTATATGAAACCCAATAACTAGTATGCAATAAAACAGAAACCAAATCACAAGCATGCTAACTTAATATAAACTCCCCAATTTGCTATCCATGTTATAGTTAAGAAATACAGCAGCCTCTGTAGGTTAAAGGTTAATAAATGGTAAGGATGTCCTGAAAACAGTAGTGTCCACATCAAGTCCCACATTATAAAAAGTAATAACTCTTTACAAAAAATGCACCAGACATGAATAGCCAGAACATTATTACTCCAATAAATGCAGCGATCTATGACTGGGTGCCAGTGCTTTGAGTTTTAAGTTCGTAGACCCTGGCTGCATTCAGCCTCAATGTAAAATTTAAAGGATACTTCAAAATGGAAGTCTCAACACCAACTCTGCCAAATGACCTCCATTGTCTAAACACAAATATGTTTTACTAACAAGGTCGAAACTCAATGTGCAGTAACACAGATGGACCTCTGGGAAATATTATTCTTGCTCATAACAAAAAACAAACAGCACAATGCAGCAGTGCTACATTTACATTGTGTTTCATGTGATAGTAAGATTTTCCTCGCTATGTCTGTGGGAGCTCTGCAGGGTACATATGATTGCAGAATATGATGTCAGGAATTTAGCTAACTTACTCTAAATGTCATGCTTTCAGCCAGCGACAAAATCAACTGATTTCTGCTACAAAATTGAAGTTTTCCAATTGGTGAGTAAGCAAACAGTTTGGAGGCAAAATTGGCATCAATTGTAGCAAATTTACAGTGAAAACAGAAAACTGGGAATACACAGCTGGTCCCTCCCCAGCTGTAATAATGATAGGTTAATACTTAGTGTGAATCCTTCCATATTTTCTGTTTTTAATTGGAGGTTCCAGCATTTACAGTTCCCTTGATGCCCTCGTATGCATTCCTGTCCATGTTTCCACCCCAGATTTCCGCAGACCTTAAACTGACTTGCTGCACTTCTGCAGCATTCAGAAGAAGGTGGCATCGAGCAACAATAGTTCAGATTTTAGAGGCTGCTGGATTGCTTCAGTACATTGAATCTAAGAAAAGCAAACAGCACAAAGCAAACATGCCCCTGTACAGAAAACACACTCTTTTAAAATTTTTTTTAAAATTTCTGGGAAAGAGAAGGCAGGTGACAGTAAATTCTTCCTCAACCAATTTTTCTCTTATCCTAACTCCCAGTTTGGATGTTCATTCAAGGCATAAGAAAATTTGCCCCATTGTTTCAAACATTCGATTGCAGACTGCCTTGCAGTTAATAAATTGCTTATTTTTACAAATTACAACTTTAGAAAAAAATTGTTCATAACTTCTTCTGATTCGATTTATTTAGTTATCCTACTCCTGTTGTTGACTTAAAACAGCATTTATATTTCCAACATTTAGAACGGATAAAGGTATTGCATAAACTGAAACAAAAAGGAGGGAACATTGAATATCCTCTTTTATTCTGAAATTGTGAAAGCAAGCCCTTCTTTAAACAAAAGCACAATCTATGAATATAAAAAGGTGCATGTCTGGAACACAGTTATTTCTAAAACATTGTGTTATCTATTTGACATGTGGGACCTGATTCTAATTCTGTGCAAAAGGATGGATTTCAAATGAATCAAAATTTCACCCATTAAATCAGCGTGGGGTTTGACTCTCAGTACATTTCCTGTAAAGTTACTGGAGAAATTACATGCCAAGATTTTTCTTCTGTTGTCATGTGATGGATTGTGATTCAGTAGTGTGCATCTTTCTTTGGTTAATCTTCATCTATTATTTGTACTAAGTAAAAAGCTGTTTTACAATGTTATGAAATTTTAAATAAAATATTACATGGAACACACCGCTTCATTAAAAGCAATGGCTTCTGAATTTATTGCCAGTCATAATAAAATCAGGAAACTGAAGGGACTGTGGAATGATTTTTGCAATGCTGGTTTTGCTTCTGTCGCTTTGGGGAATCCTGTTTACAACATAAATGCCCATGATCGAAGGGTATTATTTCACGACCGAGTCCCTTACTTGTGGGGGGAGTTTTGCAGGTGGAGTTAATCCACTTGTCTGGAAGTGCAGATGTAAGGTCACTTATTTGTGTATGAAGAACAATGCTCATTGCTGTTACATTTTACTGTGTCTGACTGCACAGTCTTCAGGGGTGTTAATTTTAAATGATGAGCAACATACTTAGTGCAAATAGCTTACAGAATGTTTGGAATGTGTAGCGGGTTTCCCCTCCACTTCGGTTTTAGGAGTAAGTAACTGCTCATCCAATAATGCATCAGAACTGTTCTTTACATATCTCCCACTCTCTGAAATCAATGTGTAATCCAGTTTTTCTCCATTGCTAATACCAGCATGAGTATTGGCAACTGGCTTTCCTTCAGAACCACTGAAATCCGAGGTATAGACAGAGTTACAGTTCACTGAAATATCTGTGGAACACATGTTCTTTTTGGGGTTTTGCTTGCAGAGGGAGCTGCATAAATCTAGGAAAACAAAGAGAAAAATGATTCATAATGTTGCAACCACAGTTTCCATTTCAGGAATCAGAGTTGGTGCCCATTAATTCCAAAGCTTCTGAAGAACTGCAGTTAATTTTGCAAATATACAATCAACTCTAATGCTGCCTCAGGTAAATAAAAATCAACTGTTCATGATTTTGAAGTATACCCTTGGTAGAGTTACATTTTCCATTTTTGTTTGTCTGGTGTTTGTATTGCCAGAGTTGATTTTCTTTTATTAAAACATATTTGGGTGGGCGTGACACTAAATGAATGGTACACGTAATGCCTCGTATTCAGTTCTATTGCAGTTTATGGAATTCAATACCAGATACTTCATGCAATGAAGTGGGGAAAACCAATGGCACCAGTTTTGTGTCACAGCCCAAGACGCATATAGCCCAGTACTGCTGCAAAATGCAGTAATCAGCTTTCTGCTAAACGAATAAGCTCACTCACAGTTACATTAGGGTCGTTGCATATGTGCCTCAATCTGAGTTTGATGTTGACCCAAAGTTGAGAGGTTCTCCTCTGGTCTTCATGTGACTGAACAGGCTGATTATTGAGATTTTTCAGCAGATAGGGCAAGCTGCCCTGCCCCGCCCCATACAATAACGGGATTGGGAGAGCAGGATTTGCTTCTTCTCTGTTACTGCTCTGCCTCATCATGAAGATAGTGGGTCTTAAAGCTTGATGGACAAGTTGTTGGCATTTTGACAACTGGGAGCAAGCTACTCATTATTAATGTCAACGATGTCACGTTTTAAACAGTCTTTGAAAAGTGTACTGAAGGTGGCAGAACAGGTTAGAGTGCAATTAATAAAGCATATGCTTTTTCTTTATTCACTCGTTGGATGTGGGCATCGTTGGCTGGGCCAGCATCTACTGTCCATCCCTAGTTGCCCTTGAGAAGACGGTAGTGATCTGCCTTCTTGAACTGCATCCTAGGTTTATTAATAGAGGCACAGGATACAAAAGCAAGGAGATGATGTTAAATTTGTGCAGAACTCTAGTTCAGCCCTAACTGGAGAATTGTGCTGCGCTTAAGGAAAGATAGGAAGGCTTTCAAGTGAGTGCCGAAAAGCCACATGCAAATGATTCCAGGTAGGTGCAGCTTTAGTCTCAAATAGACTGAAGAAAATGGGACTGTTTTCCACAGAGTGGAGATCTGATGGAAGTCTATGAAACCATGAGGGGGCTGGACAGAGTCCGCAGGGAGAAACTTTTCCAAATAGCAGAGGATTGAATACAAGAGGCTGCTGGTTAAAGGTTATGAAGAAAAGAAGGCACTCAAGGGTGCAAGGGTCAGGGATGTCTCGGATCAACTGCAGGACATTCTGAAGGGGGAGGGTGAACAGCCAGCTGTCGTGGTGCGTATAGGCACCAATGATATAGTTAAAAAACAGGATGAGGTCCTACAAGCAGAATTTAGGGAGTTAGGAGCCAAGTTAAAAAGTAGGACCTCAGAGGTAGTAATCTCAGGATTGCTATCAGTGCCACGTGCTGCTCAGAGTAGAAATGAAAGAATAGGCAGGATAAATCAGTGGCTTGAGAGATGGTGCAAGAGGGAGGGGTTCAGATTTTTGGGACATTGGGACTGGTTCTGGGGGAGGTGGGACTATTACAAATCAGATGGTCTATACCTGGGCAGGACTGGAACCAATGTCCTAGGGGGTGCTTTTGCTAACGCTGTTGGGGAGGGTTTAAACTAATGTGGCAGGGGGATGGGAACCAAATGAGGAGGTTAGTAGACAATAAGAAGGTAGTAACTAAAGCCTGTAAGGAACTAGATAACGAAGTCAGTGTGACTAAGGGGAAGAGTAGGCAGAGAGCAGATGATGAACGCAAAGGGACAGGTGGTCTGAGGTGCATTTGTTTTAATGCGAGAAGTGTAGTAGGTAAGGCAGATGAACTTAGGGCTTGGATTAGTACCTGGGAGTATGATGCTATTGCTATTACTGAGACTTGGTTGAGGAAAGGGCAAGATTGGCAACTAACTATCCCAAGATATAGATGCTTCAGGCGGGATAGAGAGGGAGTTAAAAGGGGTGGAGGAGTTGCATTACTGGTCAAAGAGGATATCACAGCTGTGCCGAAGGAGGGCACTATGGAGGACTCGAGCAGTGAGGCAATATGGGCAGAGCTCAGAAATAGGAAGGGTGTGGTAACAATGTTGGGGCTGTACTACAGGCCTCTCATCAGCGAGCATGAGATAGAGGTACAAATATGTAGACAGATTATGGAAAGATGTAGGAGCAACAGGGTGGTGGTGATGGGAGATTTTAATTTTCCCAACATTGACTGGGATTCACTTAGGAAGGGGCCATACTGGACCTGGTGTTGGGGAATGAGCCCAGCCAGGTGGCTGAAGTTTCAGTAGGGGATTACTTTGGGAATAGTGATCACAATTCCATAAGTTTTAGAATACTGATGGACAAAGACAAGAGTGGTCCTAAAGGAAGAGTGCTGAATTCAGGGAAGGCCAACGATAGCAAAATTCGGCAGGAGCTGGGGAATGTGGATTGGGAGCAGCTGTTTGAGGGTAAATCCACATTTGATATGTGGGAGGCTTTTAAAGAGAGGTTGATTAGAATGGAGGACAGACATGTCCCTGTGAAAATGAAGGATAGAAAGGGCAAGATTAGGGAACCGTGGATGACAGGTGAAATTGTGAGACGAGCAAAGAGAAAAAAGGAAGCATACATAAAGTACTTCATATGGGTCAGTTTTTGTCCAATGTGTGCAGGAGGGTTTCCTGACACAGTATGTAGATAGGCCAACAAGAGGCGAGGCCACATTGGATTTGGTACTGGGTAATGAACCAGGCCAGGTGTTATATTTGGAGGTAGGTGAGCACTTTGGTGATAGTGACCACAATTCGGTTACGTTTACTTTAGCGATGGAAAGGGATCGGCATATACCGCAGGGCAAGAGTTATAGCTGGGGGAAAGGCAATTATGAGGCGATGAGGCAAGATTTAGGATGCATAGGATGGAGAAGGAAACTGCAGGGGCTGGGCACAATTGAAATGTGGAGCTTGTTCAAGGAACAGCTACTGCGTGTCCTTGAGAAGTATGTACCTGTCAGGCAGGGAGGAAGTGGTCGAGCGAGGGAACCGTGGTTTACTAAAGAAGTTGAATCTCTTGTCAAGAGGAAGAAGGAGGCTTATGTAGAGATGAGGCGTGAAGGCTCAGTGAGGGCGCTTGAGAGTTACAAGTTAGCCAGGAAGGACCTAAAGAGAGAGCTAAGAAGAGCCAGGAGGGGACATGAGAAGTCTTTAGCAGGTAGGATCAAGGAAAACCCTAAAGCTTTCTATAGGTATGTCAGGAATAAAAGAATGACTAGAGTAAGATTGGGGCCGGTCAAGGACAGTAGTGGGAAGTTGTGCGTGGAGTCCGAAGAGATAGGAGAGGTGCTAAATGAATATTTTTCGTCAGTATTCACACAGGAAAAAGACAATGTAGTCGAGGAGAATACTGAGATACAGTCTATTAGACTAGACGGGATTGAGGTTCATAAGGAGGAGGTGTTAGCAATTCTGGAAGATGTGAAAATAGATAAGTCCCCTGGGCCGGATGGGATTTATCCTAGGATTCTCTGGGAAGCTAGAGAGGAGATTGCAGAGCCTTTGGCTTTGATCTTTATGTCGTCATTGTCTTCAGGAATAGTGCCAGAAGACTGGAGACTAGCAAATGTTGTCCCCTTGTTCAAGAAGGGGAGTAGAGACAACCCTGGTAATTATAGACCAGTGAGCCTTACTTCGGTTGTGGGTAAAGTGTTGGAAAGGATTATAAGAAATAGGACTTATAATCATCTAGAAAGGAATAATTTGATTAGGGATAGTCAACATGGTTTTGTGAAGGGTAGGTCGTGCCTCACAAACCTTATTGAGTTCTTCGAGAAGGTGACCAAACAGGTGGATGAGGGTAAAGCGGTTGATGTGGTGTATTTGGATTTCAGTAAAGCATTTGATAAGGTTCCCCATGGTAGGCTATTGCAGAAAATACGGAGGCATGGGATTGAGGGTGATTTAGCGGTTTGGATCAGAAATTGGCTAGCTGTAAGAAGACAGAGGGTGGTGGTTGATGGGAAATGTTCATCCTGGAGGTCAGTTACTAGTGGTGTACCTCAAGGATCTGTTTTGGGGCCACTGCTGTTTGTCATTTTTATAAATGACCTGGATGAGGGCGTAGAAGGATGGGTTAGTAAATTTGCGGATGACACCAAAGTTGGTGGAGTTGTGGATAGTGCGGAAGGATGTTGCAGGTTACAGAGGGACATAGATAAGCTGCAGAGCTGGGCTGAGAGGTGGCAAATGGAGTTTAATGCGGAAAAGTGTGAGGTGATTCACTTTGGAAGGAGCAACAGGAATACAGAGTACTGGGCTAATGGTAAGATTCTTGGTAGTGTGGATGAGCAGAAAGATCTCGGTGTCCATGTGCATAGGTCACTGAAAGTTGCCATCCAGGTTGATAGGGTTGTTAAGAAGGCGTACAGTATGTTAGGTTTTATTGGTAGAGGGATTGAGTTTCGGAGCCATGAGGTCATGTTGCAGCTGTACAAAACTCTGGTGTGGCCGCACTTGGAGTATTGCGTACAGTTCTGGTCACCGCATTATAGGAAGGATGTGGAAGCATTGGAAAGGGTGCAGAGGAGATTTACCAGGATGTTGCCTGGTATGGAGGGAAGGTCTTATGAGGAAAGGCTGAGGGTCTTGAGGCTGTTTTCGTTAGAGAGAAGAAGGTTAATAGGTGACTTGATAGAGACATACAAGATGATCAGAGGATTAGATAGGGTGGACAGTGGGAGCCTTTTTCCTCGGATGGTGATGGCTAGCACGAGGGGACATAGCTTTAAATTGAGGGGTGATAGATATAGGACAGATGTCAGAGGGTAGGTTCTTTACTCAGAGAGTAGTAAGGGCGTGGAATGCCCTGCCTGCAAAAATAGTAGACTCGCCCACTTTAAGGGCATTTAAATGGTCA